GTGACACTTGTAAAAGCTGTTTAAAACCACAGACTCTTCCTGTAGTTCCTAGTAAATGTGCCGACTGCATACGATAACGTGAGTTATGATACCAGCCATTGGAACTCAGAAAACTGTATGATTTTTAAACCTAAGTGAATACTTGAAAAGTTAAAAATTATTCAAGTAATTATATAATAAAAAAGCTTAAAAAGCCAAATTCAAAATCATATAGTGTGACTCAGCAAACATAGAGTCAAGTGTATTTTCAGGTGTTTGGATGTTTGTTTTAATGCCATTCTTAATTTCTCACTTCCTTCACAGAATCACAGAATCACAGAATATGCTGAGCTGGAAGGAATCCATAAGGATCATAAAGTCCAACTTTTAGACCTCCACAGGACCATCCCCATCTCAGGCACAGCATGTGCCCGAGAGTATTGTCCAAACACTTCTTGAACTCTGTCAGGCTTGGTGTTGTGACCACTTTCCTGGTGAGACTGTTCCAGTGCCCAGCCACCCTCTCTTGAAAAACCTTTTCCTAATATTCAACCTAAATCTCTCCTGACACAACTTCAGGCCATTCCCTTGGGTCCTGTTGCAGAGAGGACACCAGTGCCTACCCCTCCTCTTCCCCTCACAAGGAAGTTTTAGACTGCAATGAGGTCTCCCCTCAGTTAACTCTTCTCCAGACTGAACAGACCAAATGACCTCACCCGCTTCTCATATGGCTTCCCCTCAAGGCCCTTCACCATCTTCTTTCTTCACAAATTACTTTAATTTTCTTTAACTGATGAACACTTCTTTTCGGCAGTTATCCCATATTTTGGATGTATATTTTAAAAATGTTGTCATCACCCTTTAATATTTGTCAATGAACAGGGCAATATAACCCAAGGCTATTTCTATCAAAATGAAAAAGTACAGTACGATTAATGGACATTTTTTATTTTAATCCCAGATAGATTATAAAAGATCCATATTATTGCATTCTATTGAGAGGGTAGAGCAAGGCAGATGTCTTAAATCATAAATATGATGTAACAATCAGAATTTTCCTTAATATTTTTTCAAGGTAGGTTTATGGAGACTCCAAGGTTAGGAAGAAAATTGGGATTTCTTCACTGAGAAACTTTCACAGCCATACAGGAAAGTAAACAATTTACTAAGAAATATTAAAGAACTTCATGACAACAAAGGAGCTTTTCAGAAATCCCAACAGATTAAAATTAAGGCATGGAAGCCTAGTGGAAATTCATTCCTGTGAAAAGATGAATCAGCAAACTCGGAAATTGTGTAGGAGCTGTTCATCTGTGTGCAAATGCTTCCCCAATACTCCAGAACAGTTCAGAAGGTTGGATTATCACCATGGTGTGACATCCATGAAACAAAAATTTGCTGAAGGTTGGTATATACTATCCACTTGAAATTTAAGAAAATCTGCAGTTTTCCTTCATAGATTTTGGTTCTTAGCTCAGTAGTGTAAACTGTTGCCTTTATCTTTATTTACTCTCTCCATTTCTTACACTATATTGCATACCTATGGATTGTTAGTGCAAGATGGATAATTAATCTGTTTAATTTCTGCACAAAACGGAACCCAATAAAAGCATGAAGAAATTTCATAAAGAATAAATAGAGCAAGATATGAATAATAAATATGAAAATAAAATTCTGTATTTTTTTTCCTCAGAGTTCAAACTGCTTAAAAAGGTAGTCAATGTTTGGGTTTTTTAACTTTGAGAGGTTGATATCAAAAAGATCAAGTTCACTATTTAAGTCAGTAAAATTAAACACCTGAAACTCAATAATTAGCATAGGTACTAAACTAGCAAAAGCAAATAGGAAGTGATACAATTAAACATGCAGTTTTTTGCTGCAGAGACTACATGCTATGCAGACGGAAATTTAAATTTGCTACAATGAATAAACATTAACTTAATTTCATGCTAATTAGGTGAACATACTTTTGATTTACACTTACATTTGTGTTTAAATCCAGCTTTTGGAATGTGTCTCCAGCATAGGACTAGTTTTAGTACTACAAAAAGATATAAGTAAGACAAAAGACTCTCTCGCAAAATTTTCTTTCTTTCTCTGTTTGATTTATGTAGGTATTGATTCACATATGCTAACATGTATCTGTGAAGAACCAGAAATCATAATGAAATGTGGAACATTTTGGAAAAAAAGAAAATATAGGCACCTGTGGAATTATTATTCTCAAAAATATCTTTTTTTTTTTTTACAGAAAACGAAAGAAAAAAATCAATTATAACACAATAAATTGCAATATTTTTTGTTGCAAAAGAGTAAATGACAGAGTTGCCTCCATAGGTAAATATATACCAACAGAATTAGAGTTACATATCATTTATATTACAATGTCATGTGCTCCATAAGTATTATTGGAAGATTTTTTCTTTTGATCTTTGTGAAAAAAACTAAGGTAATTTTTTTATAATAAGATTTAGGTACTTATTTACAGAAAAAAATACTGCGGTTATATGCCTTGATGAAATTCAAAACTACCTGGGTAACTAACTGTCACAGTAGTCAAAGCTGTTATACTTATCTTGGTGGTACTTAATCAACAGATTGAATTGGAGCCTGGAAGTTTAACAGTTCTTCAGTCCAGCAACAGGTAAAGTTTTAAGCAACACAACCTCCGTTCAGTTGTGCAATATGTGTGCCTTGTGTTATCTGAGATCATAGAATCACAAAATCTTCCATGTGGGAAGAGACCTTCAAGATCATCTAGTCCAACTCAGTGTAGCACCACAATAATCACCCTTAAACCATATCCCCAAGTGCCACATCCAGAATCTTCTTCAACTCTTCTAGAGATGGGGACTCCACCACCTCCCTGGGCAACATATTCCAATGTCTAACGACTCTGTCAGATAAAACTTTTTTTCTAATGTCTATTCTGAACCTCCCCTAGAGTAATTTAAGGCCATTTCCTCTTGTCCTTTGAGATATGGCAGGAGAGACTGACCCCCACCTCTCTACAGCCTCCTTTCAGGTAGTTGTAGAGAGCAATGAGGTCCCTCTTGATCTTCCTTTTCTCCAGGCTAAACAATTCCAGATCTCTCAGCTGCTACTCATAGGACACGTTTCCTGGAATTTTCAGTAGCTTCATTTCTTTTCTCTGGACTCACTCCAGCACCTTAACATCCTTTTTGAAGTGAGGAACCCAGAACTGGATGCAGTACTTGAGGTGTGACCTCATCAGTGTTGAGTACGGGGCGACAATTACTTCCCTAGCCCTGCTGGCCACATTATCCTTGATACAGGATGAGATGCCATTTTCTTTCTTGGTCATCTGGGTACACTGCTGGCTCATTTTTAGCCACTGTTGACTAGCACTCTGAGATCCTCTTCCTCTTGGCAACTCTCAAGCCACTCTGCCTCCAGCCCGTAACGCTGCCTGGGGTTGTTGTGATCCAAGTGCAAAACCTGACGCTTGGCCTTGTTGAACATTGTGCAGATGTCCTCAGCCCATATATCCAGCCTATTCAGATCCCTCTGAAGGGCCTTCCTGACTTTCAGCAGATCAACATTCCCACCCACCTTGGTGTCATCTCTAAACTGACTAAGGGTGCACTTCATCCCCTCATCCAAAGCATTGACAAAGATATTAAAAAGGACCAGCCCCAGTCCTGAACCCTGGGGAACTGCACCAATGACTGGCAGTCAACTCAGTGCAGCACCAGTCACCATCACTCTCTGGGCTTGGCCACCTAAAGAGTTTTTCACCCAGTGTGCACCTGTTCAAGACATGAGCTTCCAGTTTCTCCAGGAGAATGCCATCGGAGATGGTGTCAAATACTTTACTGAAGTCTAGGGAGGCAACATCCGCAGCCTATCCTTATCCACTAATTGGGTCACCTTGTGATAGAAGGAGATCAGCTTGGTCAAGTAGGACCTACCTTTCCTAAAACCGTGTCAGCCTGGCCTGATACCCTGGTTGTCCTATGCATGCTGTGTGATGGCACCCAGGATGATCTACTCCATGACTTTCCCTAGTGCTTAGGTCAGTCTCACATGACTGTGGTTCCCTGGATCATCCTTCCAACCCTTCTTGTAAATGGGCCTTATATTTGCTAATTTCCAGTTAACTGGGACTTCTCTGGATAATCAGGACTTCTGGTAAATGATTGAAAGTATCTTGGTGAGCTCTTTCGTCAGCTCCCTTACTACTGTTGGGTGCATCCCATCCAGGCTCATAGACTTGTGGGTGTCAAACTGGCGTAGTAGGTCACTAACCATTCTATCCTGGGTTACCAGGGCCTCACTCAACTCCACATCACTATCTTCCAGCTCTAGGAGTTGGGTGTCCTGAGGACAACTGGCTTTGGTATTAAAGGCTGAGGGGAAGAAGACATTGAGTATTTCAGCCTTTTCATCATCCCCTGACGCTCTGCTCTCCCCTTGTGTACCTAGCAAAGGATGGAGACTCTCCTTAGCCCTCCTCTTGTTGCCAGTGTATTTATATAAACTTTTTTTATTGTCTTTAACCACAGTGGCCAATGCACAAATGATCTCCTGGCGTCCTGCAGCTGGTCTGTATGCTCCATGTGGTATTTGTCAGTGGCTTGTGGATGTCTCAGATGCCTGAGAGTGTCTCAGATGCCTGAGAGTATCTCAGTGTGGCAGTGCCCACTTGGGTGGAGGCAACTGAACTGAGCCCTAAGGAAACAGACATTGCTGAGAAAGGAGATGGTGCCTCTCTCTGACAATGACAGAACACCAGAATAGCAAGGTGAAGTAACTGTTCTAAACGAAATATATCAGGAGTTGTCAGCTTGCGCCTCAGTCATCACAGTTCTAAAAATCCTCGCAACTGTTAGATGTTTTAAAAGAAACTGCCCCCATGAAAAACTTTCCTTTGCTAATTGCTACAGTAAATGTACGTATATACTGCAAAACAATTAAATCATGGTTCTTAACTTAATTGGAGTATTTTTGGCTTAGTATTTTTGCTTTCGTGTAGTACCCAGAAATAAGGCCTTTCTTACCATCATTTCTCAATGTCAGAGGTGTAGGAGGACTCAAAACTCTGGCGTTTGTCACTGTATTTTTTACCAGGCATATGTAACTGCCAACATCGGATGTTTGCACCTTGGAGATGTAGAGATTGCCTGTCTCCTGAGAGATGAAGCGTCTGCTGTCTTCTGCCACAAAAGATGGGAATTCATTAAATACCCAGCTATAGATGATCTCTAAAAGAACACGGAAAGAAAATAAGAGAAAGCAATTACAGAAACAATACTATGTTAATAGATACAATAAGTAAATGTTCTCTAGTTTTGTTTCAACAATCTAGGGGGAAAAAGTAAAAGGTTTTCAAAACTTTTTGTTTTGTTTTGTTTTAGAATTAAAGAGAATATTTTTTTTACAACCCTTGGGATCTTGAAAATGGCATAAACTTTGCAGTCACTAGTTCCCTGGAAAGACAGATTTAGTTGAGATCGGACTCAGAAAACAGCAATAAAATATTATATAATTCTCTTTTATAGTCTTTCAGGTCAAACCAAAAATAATATACAAAGAATTCTTTTCTCAACTTGTTCAGATTTGCAGTAAAATGTATCAGGATGCTCCCTATACACACAAATGTGTGTATAAACAGTTTTTATTCTGAATATCTGTTTTTAAAATCACCAAATTCTAATAACTCTTTAGCCTACCTTGTAGGTAACATTAGTGCCCTACACTTCTGTCTTTTATATCTACTTCACTGAAGAATTTCTGAACCCTTCCTTTAAGCTGCTTAAATCCCTAAAATCAATGAATAATTCCTTAAACCAAAGTGACCAACTAATCAGTTGTTTTTAAAAATGGTAATTAAATCCAGTCCTTGATTCTTATTTTTTTTCCATGAATCATTATATTTACCTGAAAATGATATACTTTTCCCTATATACTCATAATAACAGGTTGAGAAAAAAATGGCTATTTCCTATCTCTCTGTATGAGATTGTATCATGATTTAATAAAAATTTAGGTTAATTTATATCTCAACATTAGAAGTATCAATAAAGTTAATGAGATTCTGATTTAGTAGGATATTTCTTGCAGGGAATTATTCATGTGGAGTTCCATCAATTCTGACTTTAAAGTCCTAACCTTATATATACTTCTTTACACACTGTTCTTTTAATCTTATCTTGCATTGTTTCATTCTGTCTTCACACCTTAAAAAAATATTGTTCACTACTTAAACTGGCATATTGGCTGAGAGACAATTTCTTCTGTAACCTCCCCCCTTGATAGTCTTCAAAGAACTGGCTTCAAAATGAGAAAAGTCAAAGTTAGTCCAGGTATATAAAGTCCCTGCTACTGTTCTAAGATGAAAACTGTTCCACTGATCTATCAAGTTCCAAGCTTTTAGACTGAAATTTCTTGGGTGACTACTCTCAGCTTCAGCAGCAACAGGAAGACAGTACTTACAAGTATGTCAATCTGGTTCTGTCATACTTTTATCCCCACTACAGTCAAAATGTTTTCTTGATATAAAGTTAGTTGGAAAATGAAAGGGTCAAACGGGTGAGAGGAAACGCCTCAAAATTTAAATTTTACTGTGTGCTTTTCTGCTGATGATAGGAGAGGAACTGATACAGTTGTTCTTGGTACAAGGAGCGTGAAACACATTAACATTCTAGTCTGGTGTACAGTTTGACTATTACACTATAGAAAGCATTAGAAATTCCAACTGATTTGCCCTTTCTATCCTTGTGTTGTACCATCCCCTTACACGATGGTGAGAAAGGAATAGAAAAGTACGATAACTGCTTTTTCAACCAATAAAAGCACACAATGCAAGAAGTATTTTAGAGATGCAGTGTCTTCTGAATTAATTTTTAAGAAGTTCAGTCTGGTTTTGAAATCAAATGAAAATTTTCTCATGAAAAACTGATGGTATCAGTAAAAAAATGCTGTGTTGAAAGACCGAAGATACTTACCTAACAGGAGAGGAAGACTCCAAAATGGGGAATTAAAGGTACACATTGAGATTTTGCTTAAATCTTTTTCAGATATAATAGTAATTCTGAGTGGTTACACAGGATCCTGAGGAATTAAAGGCTCTTGGAGAGCTCTCTGAGTGTTTGAATTTTCCTTCCTCTTACGTTATGTTTCAGGCAAAATACTAATTAACCCCAAATACGTCTCTCTGAAAATTTCATTACCATGTTTTGCCGTGAAATCTTATCTGGAAGATATGATTCATGGCAGCATAAAATTCTACAAAGTGATAATGAATATCCAAGTTCAAGGAAAATGCACAGTCTTTAGCTGAAGATACCTGTTACTAATTCAAATGGAAAGCAATCAGTCTCACTAATTGCTCTGATTTAAAAGTAGTTCAAACCAAATGCAAAATAGCCATCAGTGTAGGTTCATTGGCAGTTCATATAGAATATAATTTTCTCCATTTGTAGCCTAAAACCACACACAATTAATTATTCGTTTATTAATTAGAATTAATACTAAGGAAAAGATTTCAGGCAATAAATTTTTATGCCTCTAAGGAAATAAATACTTAGTCTTTGCCAGTGCTGAATCCAGGGGGATACCATCATTTTGGCACCTTCTTAATTATTTTTACTGTTAAAAATGGAGTGACGGATGAATGGGTACTTGGATAGGGTCCTGTGAAAAAGAAAGTAACAGAACTGCCAAATATAAACCTCAGAGAATTTGTGCTATAAAGCTGTGGTTAATGCTTTTTTTTTGTGCATACCTTTAACATCTATATTCCAGCCAGGAGCCCAGAAAAAAAGTGTTACTGGCTGACTTCTTCATCATTGTCAGCCCATTGACATTAAAAGAATTACTCCTATTTTTCCTTTCTCAAAAGCAAAATTCTGGGGATACACCTTAAAATACCTGAAGACTGTGCATCTGTATGTGCTTAGATCTGGAATCTATCTGGAGTTCTTGATTTCCTTTGCAGGTGAAAACCCCCTTACATATTTTATGATTTTTTTTCTCTCCTGTTAGATCTGGTTAATGGGTTCAGCAGTTTCTTAAATAAAATGTGAGAATTATATCCATACAGTATGCATAGGCTACAGTGGAAATATCTCAGGAAAATGATGCAATTTCTAACGTATGCTGTGCAGACCAATCAGAAACAACCACAGCTGGTTTGGGATCTGGGGACCTCAGAGTTTTTAGCTGACAGAAATAGACTGATGATCTTACAGAAGTGATTTTACAAAAAGGTGTTCACAAAATGACTGCAATTAAGGGAAAATGGGTGTACCTTGACATTGATCCACTGTGTAAATATCTCACACTTCCAAATTTGCAGTCATAGTAGAGGATGAAACATGCATTGGTGTTCATATTCTGTGACTCTGACTGTTCCCACTTTGTATGCCAGCAAAATTACAATTTAGGGTTCATTAAATTCAGAATTGCTGGCAAAGGCTGGCCAAGTACAAAAACTGTGGGTTTGCTTTGTTTTCTTTTGTTGGTTTGTTTTTCTTTTGGCAGTATTGTGCATAAGAGAATACCCAAATGGTGGCAAAGACATCTAAAAAGTAACTTGTGAAGAGACACTAATGGAGAATCAATATTTAAAACTTTGCTGTCTTTCTACAGACAAGTCTGTCATCTATATTACATGCACAGTAAAATATTCTGAAACAGCAGTGAATGTAGTTACATGCTACAAGCCCAACAGCAGTTCAGCACAGGAGTACATGTAAACTACAAGAAGAGTTGTATTTAATATTATCTGAAATCCTACTCTTACAAAGTGGTAAACTGCTGAGTGAACCTTTTTGAATTTCAGAACAAGAAGCCTAAGACTAGACAGATAACACCAGGTCTATTTGTACACAACTCACTGCAGTTTTTAGTGAACTTCAGGCCTGAATTTTCCTATAGAGGTTTGTATTAAAGATTTTAGAATCATTGTCATTTGGCTAAGCAGAAATACAATTGTCATTGTATTAACTTTTTCTTAGATGCATCTCAAGCCTGACAATTTAATAGTGATGACCTTCAAGAGATTTTGAAGCTAAAAGTCAATGCTACAAAAGTATAACTAAACCAAACTAAAACTGTGAAATCAGAAAGTTATTACTTTGGATATGGATCTTCCGAAGTCATCTACTTTTGAGGAAAGACTGAGTAAATGATTTTTCTATGCTGTACTCATTTTGCTTTCAATAGGGAAAAAAGTTTAAGTGACAGGAGTAAACTGAATACTGTAGTATACAGAAGTTTAGAGTATTTTTATAGAATATATGCTGAGTTTATTTTTTATTTTTATGCCCATCTATTTTATTTTTAATGTGACACCTATGCCAAAACCACAAAGATGATGTAGAACCCTTCCTGGAAATTGCAGTTGACTGCCAACACAAAAGAAACTTTTACACAGATACTATTCATCAACGCAAACAGAAACAGAGAGTAAAAACCCAGAGAAATTATGAATTATAGAACAGTTGCAAATTGACATTCCTTTTGGCTGAAGGATTTTTCTGCTTCTCAATTCTGTCATGTACAAAGTCTTGGTGTAAAAATGATAAAAGTAATTTTAGTAACTGCAAAAATGGTATTTCTTTTTATGAATAACCATCCTTGTTTACAGAAGAATGTCTCTAAGGAGATTAGTATCTTTTTCTGAAGATCATTTGGAAAACCTTCCTAATGTCCAATTTGTTTCTGTGTAATATTAAACACTTTTTAGTGGGTTATGTATATGAAAATCTGGGTCACTTGGTGATAAAGTAGTAAGAAGAGACCATCTATTTCCTGCCAGAATTAATGTGTGAAATCTTTCTTAAAAAATTGTTGCAGTTCTATTTTCTCTGTTAAACGACATTAATTCTTAAACTGTCACAATGTGATGTACTTCCCATAATGGATGAAACTGGAATACTGACATATCAGCATTTTTGCTAGTGCAGTAGCAAAATATCATTGCTTTTGGAGATATCATTCTGATGCAGATGTCAGTACTATGGTAATGCAAAAGTCTTTCTGTCATTGTGGGTCAGTAAGAAATAACCCCTTAAGTATTGTAAAGAGAGATTTGCTGGAAGCATTCAGATAGCACCAAATATTCACTTCTGTATTTATTAGTGCCTGAATGTTTCCCAGATTTGCTTCAGGGCTTTTCTCATAAGAAATTGCTTATCTCATCCTTTCAACACAAGGTTTCTGGATAGTCTTTTCATCAGTGGTGCAAGCGAAGATGTAA